CAAACTGCAGAACTGCAGTCAGCTGAAGTAGCCTGCAGTGCTGCATTTAACCACTGCACCACCTCGGCTCAACTGCTCTTGTCTCCATAGTCCACTCTAGCATTATTATCTGCTGGGCTCCAGAGTAACAAACAAGCAAAGGGGGAGCTGAGAATCACTAAAGGGAAGAGTGATTAATAAGCCAATTCAGAGTCATCATAATACGTTTTTTGCAAATATGTCAGGGAGACAGCAGTTAATTACTTTACAGGGGTGATAATTTGTACTGCATTTTCTGTAATATTAAATCCACTTTATCAAACAGCTTAATAGCAGACAAAATGTCCTAGCTGCAGAGATTTTTTTAAAAAAAAAGAATAATCTTCTCCCTGACTCACGAAAACCCAAGTTAGATACTACTTTAATTGCGTGAATTCGGGAATTTTTATATATTTTTGGTTATATAACCCTGAGCAGCTTCCCTAGGAACACTGAGCAATCTCCAAACCGGAGGGGGGGGAGAGGGAGAGAGGGAGAGGGGGAGAGAGGAGGAAAGGAGGAGAGAAAGAGAAGGAGAGAGAGAGGAGAGAGAGAGGGAGGGAGGGAGGGAGAAATATTTATACCTCTGTTGGGCTTTGAATTTGAGCTTGTATTCTGATTGGTTGTCAGACTGCCATGCGGCCATGCAGGGGCAACTCTCTAGGCTGTCCTGAGTCCCAAGCTTGGTTGATTCTTGCTGGGTGATGATGTAATAAAAAGGCTCTGCCGGAAGAAGGTAGAATAGACTGGCCCAGGCCTTAATGGCCCATTGACAAACGTTAGGGTTAGGGTTAGGGTTAGGGTTGATGTAAGAGCTGATGTAAGAGGACTAGACAGTTCTAGTGGATTATTATAACTTGCCAATGAGGCAGAAAATTCAAGCTCAAATGAGAAGTGGAAAAAGGATCCAGGTTCGATTGCAGTTTTGCAGCAGGCAAGATAACCTAGTGTTGTGGCTGAGTGATGCTCCTGGTTCCTGTAGTCTGCAATTTCCCCCTCCATTCCTACTCCCACACCATTCCAAGGATGTTCATTCCAAATTGTATAGCTAAACGTCTGTAGAGATTCTCGGTCATCCAGGTTGTCCCAAAGGTGACCCCGAGGACNAGCTTTCCTCAAAGTTCCAATTTAATAAGAGAGACATGTTGGTACATCTGTGGGAAACCCGAATCTGAAAGCTGCTGGGGTTTCCCACCCAGTTGAAAGTTCATGATCTTGCTCCCACACCCCCCAAGTCCATCACATGGCCCAATCTTCCACTGCCAGTCTGGCATTTCCACTCATCTAGTTCCGGTCAGGTGCAGAGGTGCGGAGACAAAGAATGACCTTGGGCTTCTAGAAAGAAATTTTGTTTTGGCTACAAAACATTCTACTCCTTACTATTCCCCCTCCCAATTACTCCACTAATTGAAACAGCATAGTAAAGAAAGAAAAAGAGTGTGGCAGGCCAAAGATCCTAAAAGGAATATGACTGCAAGACTGACAGCTTGGTTTTCTGAAGAAGCCCTTGAGATCTAAAACCTCTCATGTCCTGCTGGACAGCAATACGTCTTCGGAAGGCTTTTAAAAAAAACCTCAATGTGCTCTGTTTTTATATGAAGGTCAATTAACTTTCCCCTTCTTTTATTTGTCTATTTGCTTACTATTGCAGACACGAGGGTCTGGAGAAGTTGGAAGTGGATCCTACCAAATATTCCTTCCCTGACGTGACAAATATTGTCCATAAAAGGGATCGGGTAGGGCAAGGACCTTTCAGACTTCAGCAGCCCAAAGTTACGGACGCCGAGAATTTGAGCTTTGAAGACAACCCAGAAGTTCCACCTTTAATTTAAAGAACGGATGCGGAGATAGCTTCTTTCGTGGTTAGAACATCATGATGGTCCATAACCTCTATCTGATATTCTTGTGTACACACACACATATATACCTATTTACTATTCTCCTCTCCTTGCCAAAATCTGTGTCCAACTCTGTTAAAAAGTATGTCAGATCAGGATAATTTGCATCCTGTTTTACAAGTTTCTTTTCTTCCAGCCCAGTTTGAGTATGAATTGTTGTTGGCACGAGGGCATCTATCGTAATAGTTCTTGGCTTCAACTTGGCAAACAACCTGGGATTAAAGCCCTGCTCCTTTCACATTAAAAAGGAATGCGGCTTCGATTATTGATCAGTTGCACCCAGGGGTGAAATCTACTTACCTTCGCTGCTGGTTCGCAAATGTGGAGTGTGTGAAATCCTGCTTTCTAGCTAATATGAATCGCACGTCACAGCTGATCGTCGGAAATACCGCTAGTATTTTTTTTTTTACGACCGGTTCAAGTGAACCGGTAGCTTTTTTTTTAATACCAGCAGTCCGAACTGGTAGCATTTCACCCCTGATTGCACTCCCCACTACAAAGGCAATAGTCATTTCCGTGAATTCCCTCGCATCATATTAGCTGTATACCATTAGCAATATTACTGTATTTCATTCTATTCTACTAGTAAATCCTTTTCCTTCTTTCCTCCTTTCAACCATTTTCTCTTCGTCTCTCAGGAACTCCACTTCTCTTCTCTTCTCTTCTTTTCACCCGTTTGCCTAGTTTTTGCTTTGTCTTGTTTTTGTAGTTTCTATATTTTTTCTTCCCTTCTCCCTTTTGGGTCTATTGTTTTTTAGTAACTCTCCCCAGTTTTTCCCCAAGTTTCCCCCCATTATTCCCCCCACTACGAAGGCAATAATCATTTCCGTCATAGGTTTGGGGATATGAGTCGAGGCGTGAAGAATTCTTTTTCTTGCCCAGGAAGCTCGGGGTGAGATTAAGAATCGCATCAATTGCTCTTTGAGGTCAAAGGGCATCGTAATAAGCAGTAATGAGCATTCCTGAACATTTCCTAGAACAAAAACATTGGAGAAAACGACAGAGACACAGCCAAAGGAAGGAAATGCAAATCCATTTGGCAGGGGAATGCCATGCTTGTCTTCCTCGTGGCTTCAAACCTTCTAGTTGGTTTCCACGCTCCTCCCATTTTCCCTCCTCTCAATTTTAAACAGTTTCTCTACACGCAGCTTCCTTTCTTTTCAATTTTAGGCATGCCAACTATAGTAAGAGGTGACGGAAGCGCCCTGCTCCTTTCTGCCGGGGACGCTGGTTAATTTATCCGCCAACAACATGCATAATTTCTCCTTTCTTTGTAGTCCTGCCATCAAGCTAATTCTTAACAGCTCAGTAAGGTAAGCCCTTGTGAGTAATACTGACAGCATTTCCACCCCACCCTCCTCTTTTCCAATCCAGTCTTCTACTGATTTACCTTTCTCGCTGGAAAGATTGCATCTCATTTTCACTCAAATTGTCTGCCTGCAGTCATCTTTAAAACTCCAGGTATATAGTTCATGTTATCAAATGTTCCTCTGAGTTACAGAGGAGGGTTGGAATCTGGTATGTGTAGATATGCAGATCAGGGGTGGGTTTCTCGCCCCGTTCCAACCGGTTCGGTTGGAACGGGGCCGGCGGTGTCCTCGTGCACGCGCGCAGTGCACGCATGCGTACTAGCCTCTGTGCGATGCTCCATCTGCTCCTGGAGGATCGCGCAGGCGCTGTATGTGTCCTGCGCAGGTGCGGTATGTGTCCTGCGCAGG